TTTTTTTTTTTTTTTTTTTTTTTTTTTTTTTTATTATATGTATGAATCAATTGTGTGTGACTGTGTGGTGATGTGGTGAGTGCCTGTGCTAAATTGCCTGAATTTTTTGTTGTCTTGTATTTTGGGTAAAAGGGTTTGGCCTTTGTGTAGTGAAGTAACAGATGTGATCATTGGTTTTTCCTTTTATTTTTATTTTTTATTTTTAATTTTTTGGTGTGTGATTATTACTGGAATTTCTTGTTTTAGAACAATCTTGGATCTTGTTGTGCGGAAAGAGATCAAGTTCTTGCTCGTTTATTGTTTGATTAGACTGAGGTTTGTTGGTAGATGTTGTTTATTGATTGGAGTTGTCTATGTTTGTGGCTGTTTGTCGCTGTTTTTAATAAATGTTTTGGGGGCGAAAGTTGTCTGATTGCTTTGTGATGAATGCTTGTGTTTTCCTAAATGGGACATTTGTGAGTTTGGTATGAGCTGCTTTTTCGAGTTCCACATGGAAGTTCAACATCGTCTTATGCCCTTGACAAAGCCAAAAAAAAAGGTCACTTGCAATGATGAGAACAATTTCTGAGTGGCTATTTGTGGCATATAATTCCTAACCCCCTCTTATACCTAACTTCTCTTGTCATTTTCGTTTGATACTTGTGACGGAATTTGGTGTGAATTTTGATTCCATTTGCTTTCTTAAGCCCCATTTTTATCTCGTGGAGAGAAATAACTAATCGAGTTAGTTTATTTTTGTATCTTGAAGGTTTTGGTGGAAAGTCCTTTTTGTTTCTGCTGTCAATGTGAAAAATATGGAGGAGAAAGATAATATCTCAGATTACAGAAGCAAATTGGACAAGACACTAACATCACCGGATTTGACAAATTATGAAAACATTCGTACACATGTCAAGAACCAAATCTTGCAATCATTGGAATGCGACTTAGAAGGTTGGCCGTTTTTCCATTTTACTGATTTTTTTCTGGTGTAGATGTTTAATTTCGGATAAAAGATGTAACTGTGTGCATGTGCAGAATATACAGAACACGTGGTGGAAAAAAGAAGTAAAGAAATGTTTAGTTTCCTCAGTATGTTGAGGAGTGCCTCAGTGAGTGATCTTGACAAGTCTAAATCCATCAACGAATCACAAAGTTGCTGGAAAGTATGCATTTTTTTTTTAATAAAAATATTATATGCTATTGTTTATCGACTTCTTTTACATTTTGAAGATTTATTTCTTTATTTATTTTCTGATTAAATTTCAGCTAAAAGAGGACACTGACGAGTTCCGTGTGATGTATCGAGAAGGACCAGCTGGAACTCCCTTCCATACACTTCTCGTTGAAGGCTATGTGGATGGGCCTCTCGATGTTTGTAAGACCCAACTGAAATATGATATGACAAGTTGAGACAAATGCATGATATTATAAACTTAAAATGTGTGATTATTAAAAAAATTTCTTCATCCTAAACAGGTCTGTGCATTTCATGCGAGTCTGACCTTTATAAGATATGGTAAGAGATACATGTCAAATTGTATCATCAGCTAAACAAGTATAAATAGATTTTTTTTTTTTTTTTTTTTTTTCCAGTTTTATTGTCATCTTAACAGAAGTTACGTAACGTCGCATCCATTTGTGAAAGATATGACAGAAAATTTATGGTAATATGATTGCTGTATATTCTACCAGGTGGCCTCAATCTGCAGTCCCTACGTTCAAGGTCGTCCAATCTCAGTGCGTTCAAAAAGTTAGACTCGGTGAACAAATATCAGTAGTGAGGTATAGATTAACACCATATCAACTTATTTCTCGTGTGTATTGCTACAGATATGATGTTTTATTAAAATGCTGATGCACACTCTATTGTTTGGAAGAAAGGATGAAGCTTTCATGGCCCTTGTCAAGTAGAGAGGCATTGGTGCATTTTTATGTTCTCGAGTACTTCCAAGATGGTCTAATTGTTGTGCTCCTTAACTCGGTAATTTCAACAGTGCCTTTTCTTTTTTTAATTAATTTGTTGCTCTTCCATTTGAAATGGAAAAGTATAGTTTTTAAAAGAAAGTATCAATATTTTCTTTCAAAAAAAAAAAACAGATTTCTGATTTCGAGAGTATCGAGAAAAGCACGCACGGATTTACGAGAGACGGGATACCCGATGCAGAGGATGTAGTTAGAATAGATGTAGTTGGAGGTTTTGCTTTACAGAAAGTGACTGAAGATAGGAGCTATTTCAGGTATTGTGTTTTGATTTTTTGTGATGGTTTTCTCGGAATGATCACTCATATTAATATCACTTGTTTGTAATTATTTCTCTCTGATTAAAATATTTCAGGTAATTCGTTGTTAGTCCAATTGTGCATTAGATTTTGCATGGCTTGTACTATTGTACATGTTCCGAAGTCTATGGAGTTCCAAATTTATATGGGTTAGCCGCAAACCACCCGAGTTTTAAACTAATGTGAATCACAAAAATGGTCATGTTTTATGAGCTTTCTGTAAATATGGAAATTCCAATCATTTATGTCAGTTTATTTCTTCAGTTTTTTTTTTTTAATTTTGTTTTTTATTTATCATTTATTATTATTATTATTATTATTATTATTATTATTTTTTTTTTCACCGTTCGGTAACTTCAGGGTTTGCTTTGTTTCATGTTTCTGCAGGACAATAGCAAACATGGATATCAAATTGGATTTTGTTCCTCCGGCATTCATTAATTTCATCTCGAGGCAGCTCGTGGGAAGTGGTTTCAAGCTCTATAAAAAAGCAAGTTTCAATCTTTCCAATGCTACCATTTTTTCTTTGAGAGAATTACAAGAAACTATCCTGGAGTTTAGCCCAATAACATAAAAATTCAACAAAAAAAAGGGAAAAAAAATAATAATAAAAGCGCTACTCTATCCTTCCATATACAAATAACCCGTTGAGGTTTCTTCTTGCCTTGCGAGACTGCTCTCCGAAAAGGGGTATTTAAAAGGTTAATCAAACCTTTGTCGGTTTTTTCAATTTGGACAAAATAAATGGGTCTTCTTGTTATTAGACTAAACCTCGAGGGTAACTTTTGCCACTCTTAACCTTTTCGTTTTATTTATTTATTTATACTAGTTTGTTTATCAAACTTTCAGTTGTTCATTGTCTTGCTGTTTGTTTATTGCACATCCAGGAGGTTGCTTCTGCTTCAAAAGGCGACCAAAAATTTCTCGAGGCCCTGAGGGACCCAATGTACATCCGTGTGCGGGAGGCTCTCTATTCGAAAAACACTCCTTTGACCTCAAATGGAATGTTCCAAGAACAAAGTCTCGAAGCACGCAAAAACAACAACAATTCTAATGTGGAGAATCATGAAACCGAGGATTTAAGAGTTCGAGAGAGAAAATCAGTGAGCGAAATTGAGGAGCTTGAAGAAAAAAAGGAATTTACGACCCAAGAAATTACAGAAGAGGTTGAGACAGACGATAAAGAAGCTGTGATTACCAATGAATTGGGGAGAAGTCTTCAGATGGCCAACAGTATTACGAAACAGTTTGCATGGGGGAATGTACATAAAATCGGAATTATTAGCCCAAGAGTTCGAGAAGCTCTGATGACGTTGGATAAGGCCATTTCAATATTACGGGAGCATAACAATAATAATAATAATATTAACTCTAGACAACAGCATGATGATGAGAGTGCGCATGACGATGAAAAAGAGGAAGAATTGTTTATTTCCTTGGAAGCTGATCAAATACGGAAAAAGGATGAGGATTTTGGTGAGCCATCAAAGATCGGGTCTGTAGAAAAGGATCATGTAGCTAAAAACAACTCTGACAGTCATGAATCCAGGTATTTTTCCTCATATAGAAGTGTTGCCTGATTTTGTCTGATAAATTGAAAAATCTTATTTCAGGCCTCGACATTCGAATTCTTACTCAAGAGACACGAAGCCAAGCAAAATTGCACCGGACGAAAGCCCCACCAATTCACATTCGTATGCTGAACAGATCACATTCCCGACAGCCTTTGAGAACATTACAGAAAACTTGAGTTGTCTGAATGACGATTCAAAATTTACTAAAGGGAAAGGAGTGACTAAAAGGAAAAGCCAAATTCCAAAATTTTGCTGCTTTGTAGCCCGGTAAGAAGTGGAAGCATAAGCCAAAAACGGTGGTGCCGTTTTTCTTCAAGAATGTGTAATTATAGGGGGGCAAAAAAAAAA